CATGTGCACAGGTAGGTTCTGGGTAAATGTCAGTGGCTTCATGCTTTCAGTTGAGGCAGTTCAAACTCACCCTCTTTCTACACGGCGCCATGATTAATTCGCTGAGATCCTGACCAAGAAGCCCTTCAGTCGCTCGGAAGCCCTTGCCCATGTCTAATAAATTTGCACTGCGACTAGATGTTTGCCTAATAAAAGTCAGCCAAGTACATGAGGCAAAGGACATGGAAGACCCACTCAACAGGAAACGACCATGCTAGACCCATAGGAAAAGTTTGTGTGCTGTTCGAGCCTTGCAATTGCTGATCTGCAAGTGCCAGCTGAATCTTATCGGCCATCCATTCAAAAAAGTCGTGTCCGCTTCGCTGGCGGACCTTCTCGTCTATCTTGTAGCTCTTCATGAAGACGATGCGCATATTCTTGGCACCGGGCCGTTTACCGTTTAGTTCGACAAGCGCAACGCGGAATGTTGATCCACCGACATCGAGAGCTAAGTAGGTACCTTTCTCCAGTCCGGAAGGAAGTTTGTGATTGTAAGAAGGCAGCATGCAAATGTCGCTCGACTGTAGTTTTGGGGCAAACTGCCTTTGCAGGGCTGCAGACATGTCCAACAGATTTTCGTTGTCCAAGGGTGCTTCGAGGAGGGTCTGAATTTCGCGCAACATGTCTTCCATGGTCCGGTCATAGGTCCGCAATGCATCTCGGGTGCGTTTTCGTGGCGACAATATGGGCAGCACGGAGTGCATGACTGATGGTAACATGGCGAGTCTTTCTAGAGCCGCAAGGAGCCCTTGCCAAAAATCCAACATGAGCCGTTTGTATTTGCGCTGGCGAGGGTCGTTGTCTGTTGCTGTGTGGCAAGCGTCACCTGAGTTGTTGGGGTCCGGAATAACGGTGACGCGACGATTCTTGGAGCGGTGTAGCAACAGAGGGGACATGGAGAAAAAGGTAAGCTGTATGGCCTGGTTGAGACGGTAAGGACAGAGTCTCTGGATTAAGTCTTTATCGAAAACGCTGAATCAAACACGTATAGACCAAGGATGGTGGAAGGTCGGTCTGCGGATATGGAGATGCATAGAGATGCGACGCGGGCCGGTAGCATTAGTAAACTGAGGTTGCAGAAATCCACCCGGACATGGTTTTACGGTTGGTCAGAACAACAAAGAGGGTTGTATCCACTAGCAGACGTAGCAAGGTATTGCTCCGATGACAGGCGTGCGAAATGTGCAGATGAGGCCCAGCACACAGGGGCAGGAGAGAGTGACCGAAGGGAAACAGGAATAATCAGCCGTCTTGGACACGCCAGCTAGCGGCCGCAAAGTGATAGTCGATGGCGTGCCGCTGGTTCCAGGCACGCTCAGCGAGTAGGCAGAAGTATGGCGTAGCTGTCATGGCGAGCGTTTGGTGGGGTGTCGTAGAAAGTTTCCTAACAGCCATTGCTACCGTTACAGTCGCTGAGGCCCGCTAGGCCATATCGGGGCCGCGAATCTAGCCGCAAGCGTGGGTGATAGGACTATGGCGGATGACTTGGCCACACAATGATACAACCCGACTGCAGATTTCATGCGTTGGTGGCGATCATCGTACCGCCGTAGCGTAGCTTGCCCGCGGTTACGCGTATGCACCCAACGTCTGGGGCGAGCATGGAGAATGCTACGCTCGAGAATACGCATGTTGGAGGCACGGCACGTGTCCTGGGTCCTGGGTCCGCCGGCGCCAAGAATAGAATCGGTTTCTACTTGGTCGGGTCTAACGCTGGGCATGCATTGCGACATGTTCCCGCCGAGGTAGCCTGTATTCTGCTCTAGTATCTGACACTGCACAAACAGGCGCCGTTGCCAGATGGCGCTTACCAAAACGTAATGGGGGCCACTTACATGACTAGGACTCGACTATCTCCCCAACGGCTGACGGCACATACATACTAACCCCGCTGGGGGACCTCACTGTGCCACCAGGCTCCCTCGTGCTCCCACAGAGACTGCCCGGTCCGAGGCCATTACGCCCGCCAGACCGAGAAACGAGCAAGTGCATGCTGACATAGTTATTAGGCGACCTACGAGGGGCAATCTAGAAGTGGCCGTGGACGGACGCATGCACATCTATCTGGTAACGATCAGACCAGGCTCGTACTACAGTACTACGTCTTGGTTACCGTATTTGGGCTAATGCTGCGCACCAACGTTGTTCATCACCAAGAGTGCATACCTTGTGAGACCAAACAAGCATGAGCACACGTGTGTTGGTAAATGTACAATGCCCCACTCCTTAGATTGTTCCTGTCTTGCTATGCTATCATATGTACATTTAAAAAAAAAGGTAATGTCATGCAAAACTCATGGACGCCCGAATGTGGCGCGTCTGTAAAGTCAGCACTAGGACTGCAAAACGATATACCAGAGGAACCACTCAATGCAACTCCGTTTGAGGTATCATAAACAAACAAGCTCGAACGCCAATCCCCGTCGTTACCCGTTAACCCCCAGTCGTAAGTATGCTTTGCATAGCTAGATTAAACCTTTTCTGGCTCAGTACGTGCAGACTCAGTGTGCGCATGGGGCAAGACATCGGCAACTGTCTCGTCTGTGAACTCGAGGTCCTTCTCAACCGCAGTAGTGTCCTCGACCTTCCAAAGGATCACGGGGAGGGCCACCAACAGACTACCGGCGAGGAGCCCCCAGTTTGAGGCGAACATGGTCATGTATGAGATCTTCAAGTCATCCAAACGCCAGGTGATGGCACCTCCGGCAGATTGGATTCCCTTGTAGAAACCTGCAAAGTTGGCAAGCTTGCGGCTGTTGTTGGTCAAAGCTCCCATGAACCTGGATTCAATCAGTAAAATGTCGGAATATGTAGAGTTTGTGAAGAGCGTACCAGTAGACACACGTCTGCCAAGCAGCATCAAAGAAGCCGTAGAACATGTAGAGAACAAAGGGACCAGCATAGCCTGCATCAGACCAATCCTTCTTCATGTTCTTCTCGTCTTCAGCCCAGGCGCGGTCGTAAGTCTTCTGGAACATGTATCCAAAGCCCCAGATGACCATGACGCTGATGAAGAGCGCGGCCCATGCAGCTTTGGCTCGGGTTGTTCGGCGGACGCCCTTGACGTCAAGTCCATAGCCGAAGACGTAAGCGCCGATGATCTGCATGATGTAATAGACGACTCCGTTCAAAGCTCGTGTGCGAACGTTGAAGTAGGCAGCGTTAATTTGAGTGAAGTGATATGTGTAGAACCAGTTGGATGCCAAGAACATGGGGAAAAGAAGGATAATGTACGGGTCGGTGAAGAAGGTCTGCCATAGGCCGGTAATCTCCGACTTCCACGAGGGGTGCTTCATGACAATGACCTTGGATCCATCGTCACGGATGACATCTCGTGCATCAACCAGGGACCATGCGAGAGCGGCACCGATGATGGTGAGCACAAGGAAACCAATATAGGTGCCGTCATTCACAGTGCCAGCAGTCTTGGTGTGGATGTTCTGGCCCAAGGGAATCTAGGAGGGTTAGTCATTGGCGGACGGAGCAGGGCGGAAAGAGAGAAACGTACCAAACTACCAATTACAGCGCCCAAGTTGAAGATCATCCAGAACCACGAGATGTAGCGACCCTTGGAAGCCTCGGGTGGGTAGGACATCATAATGGCACCCTGGGCGCACCACAGCAGACCCGCACATACACCAAGCAGGGCGCCGGCAAAAGTGGTGAAACCCAGGTTCTTGGTGTGGTTGTAGCAAAGATAGGAACCGACGTAGATGGAGTAGCCAATGCCGCCAAAGGACAGGGAAGTGCGGATGCCAAGCTTATTGGTAAAGGTACCAGCAAAGAAGCCGATGACGGCAAAGGTCGAGTACAGAGCCGTGTTTGCACGATTGTTTGCGGTAGGATCCAGCTGGCCACCGCCGCCCATGCCGTTGAGAGCATTGAACATGCCGGGACACATGAAGCAGACAAAGGAGACAATGACGAGCTGTGTCGGGGGAGAAGCGAACCAGGGCAACTTGAAGCCGGCGATGGTGAAGCGACGGTATTTCCATGACTTTGGCAGGTCGAGGGCGGTGCTGTCAGTCAGCGAGTGGTCTGCCGAGTTGACGTGGTGGGCCAAATTGTCCTTGTCGGTGGAAGTTGCCATGCTGGCGGGTGGTGAGGCGCGGGCGCGCACAAAGGGTGGATGGCGAGGCTAAGGTTGAGCGGGCGTGGTGTCGTGGGCAGGAAGGCACGCTGTCGCGAGTCGGAAGGAGCAGGCGGGCACGAGGCGATAAAGATGTCGAATCGTAACGCTCAGACCACTGCGACGGCTGAACAGGAGTCAGGACAATTACGTGAGAGACGGGGTAGTGAAAGCGAGGGGCAGCTTCATTTTAAGCATTTGTCCGCTAGGGGCTGTTGATGGTGCCTCGACAGCCAAATGTGGATTTGGGTTAGACGAGGCGGCCATCAGCACGCGACCGCGGTGCACTGCTGTGAGACGATGTGAGGGCAAACATAGAAGGGGGCCAAGTGACGGCTGCCCAGGATGCCAGGATGCCAGGATGCTACTGTAGGTAGATGCCAGCATGTGCAGCTAGCCGGAGACTGGGTGACTGGGACGGCGACTGGACCAGCAACATTACTTAGCAACGCATGCATGCAGGCAGGCTGGCAGGCTGGCAGGCTGGCAGGGAAGGCATAGACTGGCAGACGGATACAGACGAAGATAGAACAGACAGACAGACAGGCCGGCAGACGCGACTCGTATCCATGTCCTAGCGCATTGCCCAGTCGTGGTTCTCGGATCGGGCATATCGAGGGTCTTGGGTGGGCCCAAGCGGGGCGTTGGAGGCGAGGAGCGAGCCAGAGCCTGGTGCTGCTGAGCTTATCGGGGAGGTGTGTGGGTGCACAGGCGCATCCATCCATACGCCTGCGCTACGCCACATCGGGACGCGGCACATGGGCATGGGGGAGCAAACCTGCAACGGCCACACTATCTACCGGGCTACTACGATACAACGCCTGCCACCACTATGACTACTTGCTACTACCTGGCTGCAACGCTCTGGCAACCCCGCCACCCCGCACCCATCCTGCCCAGCATACACATACTACACACGCATGCGAACAGCTTGCCTACATGTGAGTGTATACTGCATGGGCCATACGTGCTCCAGCAATGTAACACAACCATCTGCTGGCCCCCCTTCGGGATAGTATCTTCATCCTCGCTGCCCACTACTCGCTACTCCAACGGCACGCGACCCAGCTGTCCACTGCTATCAGTCTCCATCTGCATCCACCGTCCCTATCATCACAATCATCATCACCAACGTCACGAGCGGCATCGGCCAGAGATAACGCATGCTCCCGTAACATTGCACACCGTTGCAACCGGTCTTTGTTCGGTCTCGAGATCTGCAACTCTACGCCTGCCTTGCATCGCGACGTTGACTAGTAGCCGTCCGTTCCTCACCCACATGGCTGCATCAGGCAACCTCGGCCGCTCCCAACCCTTGACAATCAGTCGGCGCATCGTGAACAAATCTGCAGTGATACTTTGACCCGGCTATGACGTGAAACTTTGTACTGCTGTGATAGAAATCACGCCCAGTCCCCCATTGCCCATCCCTCCCGCAACTACCACAGGCAAATACACACCTGCCTACTCACACATACCATACACACTATACACATTGTACATACAGATCCACCATGTAAGGCCTATTGCCCCTCGACGCAATACGAATGCATCCCGGCTTATATGACCTAGGCGCCTAATCATCAGAGACGACGCCCAGGCTGCGTCCCAGTACATTGCAGATTACATTATTGGTCCGTAGCTCCCGCCCCCAAATGCACCTTCCCTACCCTACTCACGCATCAACACCAGAACGCATCAATGCCTTCAACCCCACCCCCGAAAGACCCTTTGTCCTGGGTCTGCCCACCGGCAGCAGCCCCATTCTCATCTACAAACACCTGGTCCAACGCCACAAGGCAGGACAGGTCTCGTTTCGCAATGTAGTCACGTTCAACATGGTACGACTTCTTACTCCCAATGCTGCACAGCAGCCTCGCCTCGAGCCTAGTCGTAGTAACAGTGAGCCAATTAGGATGAGTATGTTGGCATTCCCCGCGACCATCCAGAAAGCTATCACAGCTTCATGTACAAGCACTTCTTCTCCCACGTCGATGTGAAACCAGACAACATCAACATCCTCAACGGAAATGCCCCTGACCTCGAGGCCGAATGCCAAAGCTACGAAGACAAGATCAGCCGTGTCGGCGGCATCGAGCTGTTCCTTGGCGGCATTGGTCCCGATGGCCACATTGCCTTCAACGAACCAGGCTCCAGCCTCAAGTCTCGTACTCGTGTCAAGACGCTTGCCTATGAGACCATTCTTGCAAATTCGAGGTTCTTTGGCAATGACTTGGACCAAGTGCCCAAGATGGCCTTGACGGTTGGCGTCCAAACCGTGCTTGATGTAAGTTGCATACATCACAATAACCGCCTGTTCACCCTCTCACCAATAAATACAGGCCCGCGAGGTTGTCATCATCATCACTGGTGCACACAAGGCTCCCGCCCTCCAGCGATGCATCGAGGGGGGTGTCAATCACATGTGGACTCTGTCCAGTCTGCAGATGCATCCGCATCCTATGATTGTTGTCGACGAAGACGCCACCCTGGAACTTCAGGTAAAGACTGTCAAGGTACGTTGCATGGGTCATTGCATTCAAGTAATCATGCCGTCTGACATGCTTGTCATAGTATTTCAAGAGTATCGAAAGGGTTGGCAAGGAGCTAGGGATGCGCCAGAAGCTCCCCAGAAAGCGCGACTCGCTACTTGACGAGGGTACCCTGCTAGTCCCCGAGGCCCAACAAAACGGTATCAGGTTGACTGTGCCGCAATTCGATCTCTCCCGTTCACCCAGTCCAGTGCTAGAACCCATGAGCGCTCGCTTGTCAGACCAAGAAGCGAACGGCGCGATACATCCCATGGACATGGATGAGATTGCAGATCAGCCCTCGGTCCGAATGGGTGCTCGCGTCGTGGGCTAAACGTTGCGGCTCTCCTCGCCCCATACTAGCAGCTAGGAAGATTGTCAGGAGAACGGGGCAGCTTGACATTAATCTTCCGAAGCCCGTAGACTGGTTCTCGGGACAGGGCTAGGTTTCTGTTTCTTTGTTAGTTCGTCACCAAATTGTCCAGGCGTCAATTCAAAGGGCCCGTCCACCGTCTTACGAAACGCGCAATCCCCAGGGGTTGACGAAGGACATCAACTTTAATGTGATATGATTTACGTACTTAGAGGATAAAAATAAGAATGTTTCTGGCCAGAACTGGTACACTATCGCGTGCACTTGATGACCAATCTTGGCAACTCAAAGAATCACGCCATGGTCAGTTTGGTGTTGCACAACTCTCTGGCAACACTCCTCAATTCTCTCGCGTCATGTTGTCTTTGGAAATTTTCATGTGACGCACTTTCAAAGCTTCTCGTACACATCTTGAACATGATTGTAGACCGAGTGATTGATGTCGAGTTTAAAGTTGTAAAGCTCAAGGGAAGCGGTAGTGGTAGCACGCGTCATTTTGGGCGGAAAGGCGCGCCCCATCCTGGTTCAGATCCCCTCGCCCCAAAATAAGCCTGCCGCAACCACCCCACAAACATGTCAACGCGCTGGTAGCCATGTCTTTTGTGGTTGAGTAAGTCGATCAATTGGAGCGCCACACAATCCCAGCTGACGTTCAATTAGCCAGGTGCGCCGGATAGACAGCCAGCTCGATCGGCTGCAGCTATCGTCGAGCCCTAGGACCTTCTCCATTACCGCCGAGGAGGCTCACGACCCGGCAAAGACAAGCCGCATTGCTCATTTGCAGAACCTCATCAAGTCGCTCTCCACAACCGCTTCTTCCAAGCACAGTCTAGTCCCAGCGGCCAGAATATCCGAAACCTTGCAGCGAGCAAGTATCTCTACCGCAATCGAGGATGCGAGCTATGAGCATGAATTGGAATGGCTCCTCATTAGCAAGGCGACAACACAGGCCTACGGACAGGTTCTAAATACTATATTGGAGCAGACAATTCCTCTCGAGAATGATCTCTGGTACTGGGACGACATCCTCTCGACCTACAGCTTTGCCGGGCTGTACTCTGTGCAGACATCGCCAGTCCGGTTGTGGAAATGGTCGCAGGAGATATACCACGATGTGCGCTCAAGAGGCCCTCAATTGGCTGACGGCTGGAGCCAGTTTTATGGCCTGGTCAAGGATACTGTACAGGAGCGCAGCATTGCAAATATCCAGCGAAGAGTAGTAAGCCCGCTGGCACTTGTGAGAAACGAGGGCAGGAAAAAGCGTGCAGCTCTAAGGAAGATACGAATGGTCAATGCCAATGCACTCGGTGTGCTACTCGGCGAAGGTCTTGGTAACGAGAAGTACGGCGACCATCAAGCCATATTGATATCTGCTGACATTTGCCAGCGTACATGACGATGGCACACACACGCCCACCCTGCTCGGCGCTCAAGGCGGACAAAGGTGGAAGAGTGTCATGTCTAAGAACATTGCCCTCATGGATGCTGTCATTCAGAGTGTGAATACTGCAGAGCTTTCCGTTGATAAGTTCGACGACTCGGTTGCCAGCATCACTCAAGACGACCAGTTCTATTTGCTACATGAGCCATCTGGCGAACGGGCTGCCACTACCTTGAAGCCAGCAGAAGTTGCAGAGCGCCTCCAGTACCTGCTCAAAACTGCGTTACCTACCTACACGGCCAACTTCAACGCAGTCGTCAAGGCCAATGGCCGTCCTTCTCGTCTGATACGCTATTGGCTCCCTGCAACCCTACTACTAGTATCCTCAACCACCATCTTGCGCATCGTTGTAAATCGAAAGGAAGAGCTACTGACTTGGATCCGTGAACTCGGGCAAACAGTCATTGACTTTTGGTCGAATTGGGTGATTGAGCCAACCAAGAGAATCATCGGCACCATTCGCCACAATGAGGAAAGCGAGGTCTCCATTATGAGCAAACGCAGCCTGGAATCGGATCGTGCCAGTCTCGAGCGCATGGTTGTAGATTTTGCAGTCAAGAATTCTGAGGGCCCAGCATTGAACGAGTCTCAGATAGCTGATATCAAGGCAAAGGTGCGCGAGGGCGATCTGACAACGGTTCTCAAATCCTACGAGAAGGACATTCAAAATCCTGTCAAGGGCGCCATAGTCGGTAATCTAGCCAGTGCTTTACTCATTCAAGTTCAAAAGACCAAGGTTGATGTCGAGGTCGCGATGAGTGGCATTGACAGCATTCTCAAGAGTCAGGAGCTACTTTTTGGCTTCATTGGTTTGACACCGGGTGTGCTGGTAAGCATTGGCGTCTATCGCTGGCTTCGGGGCGTCTTCAGCAGTCGCAAAGGAGTGCAGCAGTGGGCAAGGCAGGGCCGCATGATACTCATTCTGCGTAACATTGACCGCATCCTTACTGGAGCGATTCCGACAGCAGACGGCGAGATATCGTACAAGGACCACGGTTTACTCCTCTGCGAAGTCCATCTCCTCCGACAAGCTGCAAGTGGCACCCTGCCTCGACGCATATTCCAGGACTTACTGGTGGAGATAGACGAGATTGTGGACGTTAGAAGCGGGCTGCAGCGACAGCAGAAGGTAGTTGAGCGCATAAGATGGGCGTACTCAAAATGGGTTGTTTGAGCGAGGCGGTCTTCCGTAACGGGGATGACGCAGCATCGGGGTACCCATGAATAGCGGAGTTGTCGAATACAATGCAAAACATGTACTGTATACCCCAAACGTGACAAGCCGCCATGTCTCAAGTGTCGAGTGACGGTGACGATGACGCCGGGTCAGGCCAGACTGGAGGCGCAGTTGCCACCAAGTCGCCTCTTGTCGCTTGTTGCAGGTGACAGTGACGAAGGTTTGGTGAGCCCGTGCGGACTATTGGCGCTAAACTCCAACGTTGGCACCATGGGAAGGCTTCCCTCCAACGCCGTTTACTCGCTGCCTGCTGGTAACCAAAACCCACCGCCAACCCTTCCCCAGCCTGCCTTGTGCCTGTATCAACACTCAAATACGAACTCGGGTACATTGCCAGCCTAGTCTCTCTTGCGACCGCCAGCCAAAGCCAGCTTCCCCGTCTCACTCCCCGAACAGCGGGTGCCAACACCGCAACCCACTCTCGCGCACGATAACGCACACGGCCGCCCTCTACCAACATGGCTGGCTCCAGAAATTATGACTTTCTTGTAAGCTCCTCTTCTCTCTCGTCATGTTTATTTGCCCTCGCGGCCCTAGTATCCCCCACACTCGCTGCTAGGCCCTGAACACCCCTCCACCGCCTGTATACAGGACCCACTCTCTGACACAAGTCCCTCTGTCCTCATAGATCAAACTCCTCCTCATAGGCGACTCGGGCGTAGGCAAGTCGTGCTGTCTGCTGCGCTTCAGCGAAGACTCGTTCACTCCCTCGTTCATCACCACCATCGGCATCGACTTCAAGATCCGCACGATTGAGCTTGACGGCAAGCGCGTAAAGCTACAGATATGGGATACGGCAGGTCAAGAGCGCTTCCGGACCATTACCACGGCCTACTACAGGGGTGCCATGGGCATCCTGTTAGTCTACGACGTTACCGATGAGAGGAGCTTCACCAGTACGTCCGTCCCATCACCTCCGAGAGCTTGATCATGTCTCGGAGAGGCTTTAGAGAGAAGCAACAAAAAAGAAAATGGAAGACATCACTAACGTTTATCACCAGACATTCGCACATGGTTCGCCAACGTTGAACAACACGCCACCGAGGGTGTCAACAAGATCCTCATTGGTAACAAGTGCGATTGGGAAGAGAAGCGCGCCGTCTCAACAGAACAAGGCCAGGCTCTGGCTGATGAGCTCGGAATCCCCTTCCTCGAGGTCTCTGCAAAGAGCAACATCAACGTTGACAAGGCCTTTTACAGCTTGGCCGGCGATATCAAGAAGCGGTTGATCGACACTGCAAGGACAGACCAGACTGCCACGCCAAAGGTGGATGTCAGCGGGCAGGATGGTGGCAATGCGGGCATGGGTGGCAAGTGCTGTTAAAGAGGGAGGTGGAAGAGTGGCCATGCATGTATCTGTGAGTTTGAATCGAAGAGATGGTTTTGGGAGGAGAAGGGGAGGATCAATGCGATGTTGAAGACGCGGCGGGGGTAAGAAGCGGTGACTGGCTATGCAGACGGCTGGCACGTTAGCGCTTGTACTGAGGCTACGAAAGACGACTGCAGAAAGTTTGCATGATGATATATGGCACCACCATGGTAGGCAACTCGCTTGAGCGATTCTTTTGGGTATCATCACTTTCCTTACCACTTCTTTGTTCCGGCGTTTTGAGAGAATGGGAGTACCTACCTTTTACATTACGTATTGTAATGCCAACCTTGTATATGCCACATTTATTTTCCATTAAAAGCCGCTAACCACTAATACACAAAAATCGCATCCATGGTACAAAGAAAACAAAACAAAACAAAAAAGCCTACATAGAGTTCGATGATATGTTTCCACAGCACCATTTGTCAAGTCGTCTTCAAGCATATCCATACTCCAAAGTATGATCCTGGCATCGTAAAAAAAAAGAAAATCGCTCTCTCTCTCTCTCTCTCTCTCTCTAGATTAGAAGAAGGCACACCATCCAATGTACATGGCCGCTAGGTTCTGCGGATCCCTCGCCATGGCGATAAGTGCCTCAACGTAGCCCTCCACACTCAGCGGTACACTCTCGCCCTTCAAATACCCATTCACTTTGGTCCTCGTAATGTCCAAAACCTCCTGCGGCGTATCCGGCACCCCCGCAATCTTCTTCCTGCGCTTCCCGCCTAGGAAGTCAGCCGTAGGATCGTGCACAAACGTCTCCAGTATCGTAATGAGCGTGTCTTCATGCTGACGAAGAAGCTTATACGTGAGCTCTGCTGCTTTGCGGAACGGGCCTTCGACGCCCTGCGGGCCCATGGCATCCACCATGTTGTGCGTCAGGCGGAAGGGAACGAGTTCGGGTTTTTCAA